AGGCCTAGCAGCAGGGATGCGGAGGATCTGGCGAAGGAAGATTATGCTTCCTCCTTAGGTGCAATAACGCGTGTCGGTCTGAGGAGAGAAAACTCCATCCGGCAAAGTCTGACACCGTAAATCGCGCATCCAAAAGCACAGCCGGTCATTTCGCGGATAAAGAGGGGATAATGGCCGGCTAAAACAGCGCGTTTGTAAATCGTCTGTTTCTCGTGCCGTTTTTTGCCTGAAGAGCGAACACCGTCCGCATTAATTACGATAAAACGCTAAAGCTGCGCCCGCGGAATAAGCTCGGCGAAATTAAACGGGATTCCGCGAGAGTCGCGTAAGCCTTTCCGGAGTAATCAAGAGCGCGGTGACGAAATAGCAAACTGGGGTGGTAGCCGAGCGATAAAAATTTCCATCCCTCTTGTTCCTTTCTGTCGTTTCCGCGGAGACGAAGGGATAATACCGGCGGACGAGGCGAGGCTTCGAATTGTCCGTGTAACACGAAATAAGCAGCGACGCTTTAAAGAAATTCTCCTCTCAGGAGGGAACAGTCGGAAGAAATTGGTTTGACGAAAATTTATGCAGGGTCGAATAGCCGGACACGACATCCACGAAGAAAGGTACGCCGTGCGGCTTGTTTTATATTCCGTGGTTGGATAGCACGCAGCCCCTTTCCTTCTTTCCTAGATGGCTCTTTTTAAAAATTTACAAGAACCTCGTAGAATCGACGTCCCTTCCCTTCGAATATTACCAGGGATGATGCGATGTACATCTCGAGACTCTGAAAGTTTCAGCCAGTTGGGATTCGCCGGTTCGCTTCGGGCATAAATCGAGCGGGGGGCGTTAAAAAATTGACAAAATACGATTTCCAGTTTCGGTAAAAATGTACGCGGCCGTAACTTCGTCTCGAACTTTGTCCGTTTGTCGATCGGATCGGTTAAAACTCTTCGGGGCACGCTGGGATTAACCCTTTGCACTCGAGAGGAGACTCTCGGTCACCGTTTAATCAGATTCTAAAGATCGACGTTAATTAATATATCAAATTTAACCCTTTGCCCTCGACGACCTTTTCGTTACAGAAGAATAGCAATTCGAAGACTTTCTGTCATAGAGTCGAAGATATTTTTAAAATGGTAAATGAGAAATCATATGCAAATTAAGACATAGAATTATTTTTCTTCGACATTCCACGCATCGTTAGGTAATTTTAAATTTGATATATTAATTAACGTCGATCTTTAGAATCTAATTAAATGATGACTGAGAGTCACCTCTCGAGTGCAGAGGGTTAAAATTACCTAACGATGTGTGGAATGTCGAAGAAAAATAATTCTACGTCTTAATTTGCATATGATATGAAAATATCGTCGACTCTATAACAAAAAGAATTGCTATGTTTCAATAACGAAAAGATCGCCGAATCCCACCTTTTCGATGCACCCTAATGCAGGCTGGGGCATTTCTAGTCCCACCTCGAAATATTGCAATAGCTGCATGCGCATAGCTTCATATTTCGTCTTATTTACGTAAAGCAGTTGCTAATACCTTCAACAAATATAAATGTATTCACCTGTGTTGGCAACATTCAACATATATAAGACGATAGGACTACTAGAGTCCCACCTATAACACCTATAACAAATTCAATAAAATTATTTTTCCATGTTTTTGCATTACGTGATTCCTTCATTAGTAAAAATGTACCAATTTAGTTTCATTTAAAACGGAATAAAATTTCTATGCAACGTTTATTTCATTATCTGAAATCCTGTGCCGCAAAGAGTTAAACACGTTCATTCGGGGGAATAAACCGAGAACGTATTGTCAGCCATGAATTCCGTGTGCTTTTAAACAGATTATACTCGAATCGCAACTATTCGATTGCTTCTTGACAAATTGGATCGTTATTACTTGCAAATAATCGCTTAACGAACATGTAACTCGGGAACGTTAATCTATCAGGGAGGAGATTAAATTTTTCCAACGAACGTGTAAATAAAAATGTAAAACATTTGTCCGTGGCAATTAATCATGCCGATTACATAGTCGAACGGGTCGATTTAGAAAATGAATCGCTGGAATAAATAAAGAATAAAAATTCAAGAATCGCGGTATCACGCCAGACGTTACGGCGTAACATTGGCCGGCAAATGGCGTTCGCAGAGAAGACAAACGTTTCGTTCGTTGTTATACTTATGGTAGAGCAAGGTATAGTACACCGTGGTGTTTCGAGGGTCGGTAAGAAATTTACATGTGGAAAAACGAAGGGAACGATGGACGTTCTCGACGATGCGGCATGGCGGCGATAAAAAAGTCATCTTCGCCGGCGTGCTCGCCGAATGCATTCCACCTTGAAGAAAGAGATACTTTTTACAAGCTTGTTCCGCAATTTCCCCTGGACAAACTTGCCCGTAATGGACCGCGTACGTCATACTTATTCCGCATGAAATAACAATTAAACGCATTAATTAACAATAAACGAGGATTTCGGCGAGTCGATGAACGCGGTATCATGCTGCTCGGGACATAAAACGCAGCCCGTCCGTGTATTCGGGGGTTGCACACCCCCGGCACCCTTGCCGCAATCCGACCGGGAAGAAATGAGTCTTGTCGAGTTGCTCGTAACAACCTAGACCACTTTTAACGCGCGCAACCTCGCTGCACCGTGCAACGCAACGACATTTATCGCGCTAGGAAACTCGCGCGCTTCTCTAATTGCGTACACTTTTATTCTTACATTGCGGCTTTCCCCGTGTCTCGCTTCCACCGTGCAATTTCGGCTGAACGAAAGGAACGCCCGGTGGCCGTTACACCGGCAGCCCCGAGGATCTCGAACTAATTCAAGTTATTTCAAGGCATTTCTAGGCGACCGTGGGGCCGAACGTCGAAAAGGTATTAAATAAAACGGGAAATTACTCGCGTTGTTCGCGTCCGCGATTAAACGTATTCTTCCCCGTCGCGGCAGGAAAGCTCGGAGCTCGTTCCCGAATAATTATACCAGCCGCGCGCCGCTAGCCGACAAATTCTTCGTTCGGCCTGGACGAGAAGGGTCGAAACGAAATTACCAAATTACCCGGAGAGTTGCGCGGCAAGAAGCACGAAATTGCCGGTCGGCAGAGGCGAATCGGCACTCGCAACGAGAGAAATAACAGGCCGATGTGCCCGCTGGAAATAAAAGGGCCAACGCAACGGCCGTTCCAACTTCTCGATATCAATCTCGGCTCCGGCGAAGGGAGCAGGCCGATGGGGTGAAATAAGGGTATCAACCACCGGACTGATGGCGTCGCTCAGACTGTCGTTACCACGAAAACAAGAAGAAAAGATGCGGAGGAAGGGGGGCGAGCAGGGGGCGGAAATGTGGGAAACGGGAATGGGAGAGATTGGTGGAGGGGTTGAGTCGATCGCGGTCGCGAAACGATTCCATCTCGAACCGCGTGACGCCCTCGTTATCGACGTCCCTGTACGCAGAACTCATTTGCTTAATTGCCATGATTACCAGCACCACCGCCGTCTGAGAAGTCGGCCAGGGGTTACGGTACGAGAAGGGAGTTACTTAACCACCTTTGCTGACCTATACGTGACACGTAATTCGCGGAAACGAATATACAGGCGGCAGTGTACCGACGTATATAAGTGCAACGACTACCCCGCGAACGTAACATTCGGGAATGCACGGTACGATGGAACGGAGCCGACTACCTGGAGCCACACGCACCGCTGCCGTGGAGGGTGAAAAATAATCGACTCGATGGAAAAAGAGAAAAGAACGAAGAAGGATCACGGCACAACGTTGCACCCGTGGGATTCTTTGTTTTTTACCGCGCCTTCGGTTTGAATGACGTGTCGACTTTTTAAAACGCCTCTGTTACGGAAAAAGTTAATTCTGCTCGGGATTAAAGCGCAAATTATTTCATTCCGTGTAATCCACCGCGAGCGGAATATCTTGGCTGATCGTATCGTCGATAATTACTCGGAAAGTGTGAAAAAAGAACATCGCTGGTCCGCCTCTCGATGGCGACATTTTCTTTCAAAAGTTGCGCATTCTTCGCGAAAGATATTTCGATATTCCGCTTCTTCGAACCACCCTTTGTGCGCCGGGAGAAATTGAATTTTCCCTGAACGGTGTTTTACATCGATCTTCCGTTCTCAAAATACGCTCTCTTTATGAAGTAATTATAATTTAATATCCGCCGAATCAAACGAAATACCGTAAGTAAAATAGCTCGGCGTTATCCGAGCGTGTAACAACGTTAAATTCGAGGGTCGATATGTTTGTATAATTGCACGAAACGAGCTTTGTGCTAGAAGCTTCGGAGACAAAGCTTTTTCAAACGCGTGCAAACGCGAGAAATATCGTTGCGGAATAACCGAATAACGGGCGGGACGATAATTAACAAAATAGCATGGCGTAAGCTCATTATTGTCGCGAACGATTGTCAGTAAAACGCGGTTCGACTAGTAATGCCACTGGATGGAATAAAGAAATAATCGTCGCGGTTGATTATGTCCTCGCACGCGAGGCGAAACTGCGAATCGCGTAAGTAACAACAAGGGGGGCATATTATGCCGGTAGGAATCCTTTTAAATTCGTCGGGAATCCACGGTAATCGTGATTCGTTAAAATCGTAATTTTTACGAATACGAAGATAAAATAATTTGCATAAAGAACGTACGCAAACAAGGCAGTCAACTCTCTTGCTACCGCTTGAAATCCAAAGGTAAACGATAAAATCGTGCCGTCACGCCGACAGCATAAAATAACGCGATAAAAGACTGCAGCTGTGTAAAAATAAAGGTACACGATGGAAAACAGAAGAAAGAAAATAACCGAGGAGAATAAAAGCTCTCGTCGCAATTTATAGATCCAATGCAATTTTTTCAGCAGGCTTCGTACCATGTTTTAATGCCACTGAGATTAGGATAATTGGGAGAAAATCAGTTTGAAACGTCGAGCGAGTAAACAATAGAAGGATGATCAAAGAAATAATTACGATTGACTTCGTATGCTTGGATATAACGATATTTATTACGTGCTCGTCGTATTTTCTCGAAGAGAACAGTATCGACAAAAAATTGGCGTCATCGTCGTGCATTTCTTTCTGCGTGAAACATACACTAGGGAATGAAAGTGTACGTACGCGATGGTGACCGAAGTGAGCTGTCGTGAAACTGTACCAATTGCTCTCTCGTTTATTATTCCATTAGGTACTACAGTAGTCTTGCCGTTGTGGCGTCAAGTTATGGGAGGTGCAAATTATTTATGGGCCAAATGTACCCTTAACGTTCGCATATGCAGATTTACTGGAGCTACTTCAACTCATTATCGCATACGAAATGCGAGACTCGGCAGTTTTGAATAAATAAATGTATTTGGCCACGAGGCTGGCCATGAAGCGATCGTTAATAGCTTCTCGATATTTATAGTTCGAGCATGCACTTAGGCCATCGTACTTTCGATTAGCGAGGTATTTAATTTTACTCCATGCTCAAATCGTGAAATACTTCCGGATTATTCACGTCCAGGAATAGACATTTGAAGATGTCATTGTAGAAATTCGGGTAATACTCGCAAGCTCTTTTACAGTCGGGCGAAAAATTAATCTCCAGTAAGACAGGCTGCATTGTTCCCTTTTTCCATTCGAGAATTAAATCGATAGCATATATGGCTCTACTTCTCGGGCTCTCGGCAATTCCTTTTGGTGGTTTTTCCATCATTGCAGCCTCGAAAATCTCCCGGAACACGTGCAAGATTTTTGGCTCGATGTGCTCTCTCCATGAAAAGTCAGGATACTGACTCTCCCATTCCAAGATAAAGTCCGCACACTTTACGTGACAAAGTGGAGTGTCCTCTGAATAATTCATCACTGTGAAATGTTGTTCGTATACGTCGAAATTATTTAAAGCGAATTCCTTATTCGCAAATCTTAAAAAGAAGTTTCTGTAGGCGAACATCCTTAGAGGTTTTACAGACTTGAGCATTACTATGTATCGTACGTCGAACTTAACTTTTCCGATTTCCGGCCTCTCGTATAAAACCGGATTCGTAATGTATTTCTGTGCGATCTTCGGCCCTGTACTAGGTAATCGTAAAATATAGAACAAATTTCTTGTAATATGAGTGTCTAAGCCCCTTGCAAGATTCCAAGGTTTACAAATCCAATGATTATCTAAACCCATTGATTCCCTCTGTTCAAAATATGCCATGAATTGTACTAATTCTAAATTTAAATTAAAAGTAGTCGGAAGCCATTGTGGATAAGTTTCAAGCGTCTCAGGATCATACGATTTTTCACCTACTTTCCGTCTGCATACGATCGACAATAAATCTTTAATAGTAAGTACATTTTCGAATGGGAATTGATTCACGAAAACATGTGGCGATCGAATGCTCAATTCTTTATATTCCTTAAAGTGCGAGAGGTACCATAAAATATCAGCTTCATCTTCATTCTCCACAATTTCAAATGCTTGGTCATTTAAATATTCGTTTATATATGTATATTGTGAGTAAACCTTTAACTTTGTGTCTCTATTTCTTTGAACAAGTTGTAGATTAGCTACTTCCGGTAGACTTTCACGAATATGATACGCCAAAAAGTAACTTTCATCCGGTTCTACTTGTGCAAAACTTTCTCCAAGAAACGATGACTCTACCCAAGGTAACAACAAAGCTCTCCGCTTTTCTGGATCATTTGTTTGACCTTCTACAAAATCTCTTGTAACTTCTTCTTCGCAATCAACATCTTTTATAGGAAACAAAAGTGTATAGGTAACACCTTCTGGTAAATACAAAAAAGGCACTGTCCTAAAGTTAGGTTCACTGCTATGATTTATTGCTGATCCTACTTCGTCCATAATGTACCAAATTGGCATTCTATCCTCTATCGATCCACTACTTAGGGAGAAAAATTGATTATATCGCCACATCTCATTTAGTACAAAATCTAATTTTTCCTCTTCTTCTGTATCGGTAGAAAAACCCATTAAGGAACACATACGATCTAATAGTCCCGGTATAGTTGTTAAATTTTCTTTAGCGTTGCCAAAATCGTATATCCATGCATGATCTATTAAATAAATGTTATTTTGATCTTGAGCAGAAATTCCCTTCTCGTAGGAAACAAAAAGTTTCCAAACAGGATCTCTTAAACTTTTTTCATTATTGTCATAATCAATCCTTATCAACTGAAACACTGTATCAGAATCAAAAGTTTGATATTGAAGTTTCTTAAATAAAACTTCCCAAAATATTCTTGGCACCCCGGAAGATTCTAACTGAAGCTGATGTGTTTGAAGAAAAGTATTGAATAATCCTACTCCATCCATTGCATGTAAGGGAAATATAATCTGGAAGATGAAAAATATAACCACATAATTTTGACAATTAATGCTTGGATAAATTAACCCAGCACTATAAAACATTACTAAAAAAAGATATAATATTAATAAGAAATTACCTATATTTTTCTCAGTTGTGGATATATCAATTTGTGCAATAAATTATTTACAAATTCCGAATCTTAGAAGATCATAAAATGCTATGAAACATAACCTCAACTTCCATAAAAAAACAATATTTACATATAACATTGAAACTTTTTTTATAATTACATTTTAGTACACAATGTACAAAAGTATTTACTTATTTTTATTATTTATTCTTCATGATAACTTTAGACGTTATTTAAGATTATGATTGCAATATTGCAATTGGTCGTTGGAATTATAGGGACATTCCATTTAGGGATGTCCTTGTGTAGAGAATTTTGTTTCTTGCTAGTACGTTGCAATTCAAAAAATACACAAAACATTAATGGCTGATTTCGTTCTTCCTGTTGGCGCTTAAAGTCTTTTCAGTCTGAGCCGGCGTATTGAGAAGTGAATTTGTTGTGGCGGTTTGATTTGTATACGCATTCTTGTGGTGAGTATTTAACGTTGTCCGTTATCAAACGATATATATATAAATTGAACAGTTTAAAAATATTATACCTTAATTTTTTCTATTAATTCACCTTTAATTTACTAAATATGTAATATATTTGCACGTGGAATAATAACCTTGTAATATCATGAAATTTAAATTGTCTACAGTACAACGAATGTAACGTACAAAACTCTAATCGTTTCTTGTATTTATGACAGAATAACTTACATTGGGAAGAATAAATAAGTCTGTTAAACCAAGATGGTTAAATCGATGGCAAATAAAAATCTAACATCCAAGAAGTTTTTAAATGGTCCAAAGGATAAGCTTATACATAAAAAGAAAAGTGAAAAGTTTAAACGGACGCTTACTGATAAAGTTGCATCAATTAACGGATTGGAAGTTCAAAATAGTAATAACATCAAACAAAATTTGCAAAAACAGAAAAGTAATTCATCTCAAAATTCTTCAGAGAACAAAGGACTGAGAAAGAAAGATGACAAAAAAAGTGATAAAAAAGAACAGGAGTCTTATAAAAGACAAATGAGTAAAAAGAATTTGGGAAAAACTGAAGAAGATGAACTTTTCAATTCAGAAGATGATGATATCAATGAAGGAATTGTATTACAGGAACAGAGCATGATGGAAGATAGTGACAATAATGAAAGTGGATCATCATCTGATAATGATAATGAAAGTGAAGAGGAGAAAAATTTACCAAATATTCTTGGAGCCAGTCTAGCTGATGAAAGTGATGAAGATGATGAAGATTATGAAGAAGAAGAAGAAAAAGAAGAGGAAGGAGAAGAGAAAGTAAAGGGAAAAGGAGTACAAGTAAATAAAGGGATTAAAATGTTTGATGGGTTAAAAACAAATGATAAAAGCATTGATGCCAATAAAGACAGTTCAGATAAATCAGTCACTGAAATTATTGGAACTGATGATAGTGATGATGAGATTGAAGAAGTAGAAGAGGAGGAAGAAGAAGATGATAATTCTGATGATGAGGAAGAAGATCAAGATAAAGAGGAGGAAAGTGAGGATGAGAAAGAGGTTGAGAATGAGTCTTCTTTAGGTTTGAAAGCACTCTTGGGGAATAGTATTGCCGAAGACGATGATGATGATGAAGATTTTGTAGAACCGCATGGAAATGATGAAGATGAAGATGAAGATGAAGATGAAGATGAGGAAGGAGAAGAAGAAGAAGAAGAAGAAGAAGAAGAAGATGATGATGATGATAATGATGACGATGACGATGACGAAGATGAAGATGAAGATGAAGATGAAGATGAAGATGACGAATCAGAAAATGAGGAAGAGGTTGCTGAATCTTCTTTGGGTTTAAAAGACCTCTTAGGTAATAGTATTGCAGAAGATGATGATGACGATGAAGATTTTGTTGAACCACATGAAAATGACGAAGATGATGACATAAGTGATGAAGATGAAGAGGAAGAAGAATCAGAAGAAGAAAATAATGCACTTGAAAACTTTCAAACAAAGAAAAGCAATAAACAAAATAAGGATGACTCTTTGGAAGAAATAAAAAAAGATAAAAGAACAATTTTTGTTGGTAATCTTAAAAAGGATGTAACAAAAAAACAGTTACAGAAATTATTTAAGCAGTTTGGAAAAATTGATGCTATACGTTTAAGAGGTAAAATAGCAAAATCCATGCATACATCTAAAAGAATTGCAGCAATTAAAAATGATTTACATCCTAAATTGAAATCAGTTTATGCATATATTAGATTTGTTTCTGAAGAATCTGCTAAGAAAGCTTTGTCTTTAAATGGAACACTATTTGAAGGAAATTATATAAGAGTAGATGCATCTGACGAAACAGAAAAAAGATTTGACCCAAAAAGAAGTGTATTTCTTGGAAACTTACATTTCAGTTAGTATAGCACATGTAACAGAGTAATACAATAAAAGTAGCAAAAAATAATCAGATTAATTAATATTATAATATGTAACAATTTTCAGATATTGATGACAACACAATTAGGAAACATTTCGAGCAATGTGGTGAAATAGCATCTGTTCGTGTGATTAGAGACAATCAAACTGGAGTAGGCAAAGGATTTGGATACATTAATTTTAAAAATGAGGACAGTGTTGCTTTAGCATTAGAACTTGATGGTATGGCAATCTTAAATAGAGAAGTAAGAGTAAAACCAAGTTCTGATCAAGATAAAACCAAAAAGAGGAAATATGGAAAGAGGTCACTCTCCGTAGAAAATACTTCTAATGTTTCACGCAAGAAAGCAAAACATAATACAGAAGTGGCAGTATCGGTAAGTTAAGCTTATACCTTTAAAAATGTTTATTGAACCAAAACTAATTTAATAATTCACATATTTCAGTCTCATAACAAAAAAAGTGCTGTAAGAAGAATAAGTGGAAAGGATCAGAAATCTGAAACAAAACAAGCTAGTCCACAGCAAGAAAACAAGTTTCAAGGTCAAAAAGCCGATGCAAACAAAAAGAAGAGGAAAAATAAATTGGACAAGAAGAAGAAACTTCTGTCTGAAAAATTAACAGCTAAACCTAAGAAACCAACAAATTAAATATCGGCATATAAAATGTACTGCTATGTTAAATGTTTTCATGACAACGTAATTTTAATATTTACATATAGGTTTTATGGTAATAATAATGATAAATTGCTGCAGACTGTTGTAATGTAAGGGAAAATTTGTAATCAAAACAGTTAGAAGATTTGAAGACTTCAACGATTATGTATTTCTATCTCTTTAAACGTAAAAAAATGAAAGCAGATATTTAACGTTTAATAAAGTATTATTTTTTATGAATCTGTTTCTTTTATTAAGCTTTTTATTTTCGAATGCAATTGTGACGGCAAATTTTGTATATTAGTTGATGCACATCTTGAACAAAATCGTTTTCCGAAATATATGCTGCATCCTAGACATACAGGTTTCTTACAAAAATTACAGTCTGCCCCTAATACTAAAACTTCTCCCTTATTAGGTAAACTAAAAGGATCTTTCATAATATAACATTCTTCTAAATAAGTTAATTGTCGCGCGAATGGTGGTTTGAGGCCTTTGAAATCAAAGCGTTCTTCTAATGAACAGCAACAACACTTAAATATTGGAGATGCGGTGTCTTTAGAGTCCTGAACTGCTGATGCTAAACCTTGATTGTGCTCAATAATATGAGTTTCATCCATAGAAGTACTAGCGATAGATTCCATCCTATAAAGTAACATCGACGGAAAATAATCTATTATTCTGTTTGATAACATATTTATTTTATATTTATACATTACAACTTCAACTTATACAAATTATAACATAATTTAGAAACATATTCATTCTTTTCTATCTACAGAAGCATTTTGCATACGCGATTCTTGCGGCCACCAAGTAGGTTTCGATACCTTCAGTTTAATATCAGATATGGTAAGAGATTGAGCATTTAGAGATTCAATAATTCGCATTAGCCCTAATCCATACTGATTTTCAATTCCCCTAAATTTACCTATGACATTGCCAGACTCGTTGATAATTTTTTCGTCGTATGAAAGAGATTGATTAGGAACTTCATTAAATAATAAAGGCATTAAACGTTTTCTTACAACACCAGTATGGTAAGTACGTGCTGTAAGTTCCTGACCAATGTAACAACCTTTATGAAAACTCACACCATGCAAATAATCACAGTTTACTTCCAATGGTAAAGGCTTTCCCGGTGGTAAGTCTTCAATACCCTCAGGAACACCAAGTTTATAACGAAATGCTTTATAACTGAAATTATTGATAGAATTCAATGTATCTGAGTTTAAATGCTTTATTATTTCATGCCTCTCAATTTCTGATGCCGCTAAAATTCTGATACCTAAATCAGAAAGTCTGGGATCCTCGTATATCATAATATTATCAACAACTTTGCTTACTTTGTTACTAAGAGTGCCACATGGAAATATTAAACCTTCAAGCTTCTGTCTATTACTATTGCTATGTTTATCATTCATGTGTTGAGTAGGGTCAAAATAAACCCAAACATTTATACTATCTCCTAAATGATCTATATCTATTTTTCTTCTAACACGATACATCTTTAGATGTCTTTGCAATGAATCTGCAGCTTGCGAATCACATTCGATATAATATACATCATCTTCTTGACTTTTATAAATAATAACATCATACATAACCCTACCCTTGATATTTAAAAATAATGCATATAAATTTGCTGCTCCATCTTCAAAATGCTTCATATCATTAGTAATCAATCCTTGCAAGAATATCGAAGCTTCATTCCCTCTAACCCGTAGCAAACTTTTACTTTTTAGGTGTTCTAAGATTCCGGATGAGGGCTGCGAAGAATCGTATCTAACAAATTGTTTTGGTATCTTTCCAAGTTTAGCCAGTTTGCGGAGTGGTAAAATAAATCTTTCAAGATGTACGATCATTGTACCAAATATCATCAAAATATGAACCAATCTTTATAGAATTTTGACCCTTGTAAAGGAGAAAAATGCAGACGACCAATATATTTTATATAAACTCTAACCTTAAATTGCGTTTAATATTTTCATCAAAGAAAGTGTGGATGAGCTTACGTTTTTATTTATTTGTGTAATATTTTATAAAACCTCTGTGCCAATCCGTGGTTACAAATTTCTGCCACAAAATTTCTATCAATATTTTGATTTCTTTTAATTTTAATTTCTGAAACGATGGTATAGTACGGTAAAACAGACGAGTAGGTAAAAGAAGAACTCTACAATATATGTATAACCTAGCTGACTACTAGCGCTATCAGGTGTAGTCGAATGAAATGTCCAACGGTATTTTCGCGGATAATTTCGAAATTTTGAACTTAATATTATATCCAATCAGAATTAGTCTTATAAATTTTTAGGACCAACATTGTAAATACGTTACAAGATTTCGAGGACAGTACAGAAAATAGCTATAAATATTAATATACCATCGTACGAGTTATTAAAAACATTTATGCCATAAAAATTCGTACGATATCTGTTATACTAATAACTGTATGTAACAGCGTCATAACCAAATATATTTGGGTGATTGGTTATTTGGCTAACATACATAATATGTTCCAACTATCGCAAAAAATAATTAATCGATTACCTTTTTTCGAGGTTTGTAAAAATATTTTAGGCGTGCAGCATTCGGAAGATGTAAAATCTGCATAAGGAAAGTCCAGGGATACGGTGTGCCAATGTAGTGGAACAAGGTAGCGTGCCGGTGAAGAAGGACAGGCGAGTGATGGCGAGCACCTTCCACGAGGAGACCGAGAAGGACGACGAGCACTCAAAGGCAATGAAATAGGAAAGGAAAAACGACGAAAGAGTACGGCCACGGTGTCGGTAGACACGGAGGGAAAGGAAACCAAGTTGTGTGACGAGTTACCGAGCGCGGGGGTCGCGACGCAGGCGTCGACGGTGAAGAGGACGGGGGAGAGATCTGCGCGCGCATTCCAAGCGCGCGTCACTTGTAAATAGTTCTATTCTCGGCAAGAGAGTGTAGCCGAGCCGAGAGTGCACGGTCGACACCAGTCCAGAAACGAGCTGGGACGTGGGGCTGACGACTGGAGCGCCTCTACACAGTATTCGGAACGAATCGGTGCGAGTCTGACCAAGGCAGCCAGTGTATCGCAAGTGCGCACACTTGGTCGGGTCTGGTGATCAGGAGTGGTACTGTGGTACCGATAAATTAATACAATTTGTTCCGAGCGTCGATTAATCCCGAGGTGTGTTCGCGGCGATGTTAAGTGCCGCGAAATCATGATTTCCGCGCCCTAGAACGAACTTTTTCTCGAATTCAAGTGTTCCGAACTGAAGGTGCATACGCGGCAAAGTACGTGTTTGTTTCTTCTTTTATTTCTTGACGTACGATCGTTCGATCGGGAAACATGTATTCGGATGGTCACGAGGTGGACGGCAGCTGGGTGCTGCGTGTTTACGTGACCGATCTTCAAATGGAGAGGAGCTTACGAATAAAAGGAGAACTGCACATCGGCGGTGTCATGCTACGGCTGGTCGAAGATCTCGGTGAGTCTTTTAAAATATTTTCACCTCTTTTATCATCGCGTAGAAATATTTCGGTCGCGTTTTCTTGCTCGCACGACTGGGTGGGGGGAGCGCGCGGAAATTGAAATTTCAAACGATGGCTCGTCACTAATTTATGACACGTGATAGGCAAAATTGTCACGTGATAGCCTTGGAATTAACGTACGCAGGATCACATCGGGATTTAAAATGGAGGCACACGTCTCCCGGGACTGTGCCCTTTCAACAAAGGACGTGCCTAACGTTTTCAGAAATATCTCGCGTAGGTGTTATTAGGACGGATAGACCGTAACGCGACGAAACAGCAACAAGTTGCGGGATTATTAGCGCGTCGTTGCAAGGAACGCGACTGCTCGAGATGTGGTCTCCCACCACCGAGGAGAGCACGACTGAAGCGTGCACGGGAGTGGAAAAACTGGACGGTCGAACTAGTTTCGCCATGACGACGGACGCATGGACGCGACCAGCGACTCCTTTATATGCTAAAGGAGCTCCCACAGCTCCGTAGAGAGACGAGAGACACGTGAGACCGGCAGCCGATTCCTATGTCTCGCCGCACGTAAAACGAACGCCGTACGGTCACTTTCGTCGTAGATAAGCATAACCTATTTGGTGTCTGATTCCCTCGTGAATCGACACAGGAGAACAACCGATTCTATGAATACCTTCCTGCTCCTCCTTTTACGCTTCTATCTACACCGTCTACATCTTAATTCGCCGGCATTTTTAAATAACCTCTTTCTCGCTGTCCACCGTGCGATATGAGAGCTACTGTTGGCCAATACACCGGATAATTAGCCAGGTTGGGAGGAGGATAGTTTCAGCCTCGACGAATTAGCCAATTTCGATCAATTGAGCGTACCGTAACCCACGTACCGTACGCATGGACGAATAGGCGAGAGGACATGTCACGAGACACTGTTCAGCCTGGTTCCAGCTGGCCTAAAAAGACGCGCAATTTCTGTGCAAATTGTGCGTGAAATTCAACGAGGCTAGTCTTCGCTCTGTATGACCGGTCTCGATGATAACCGGTCGATTATTACCGACTGTTTATATCCGGTGCAACGCGAAGTTGCTGGCCCGGCTAGAAAAATGATTCAGCGATGAAATTACCAGGCTGGATCGTATGTTGCCCCTCTTAATAGTTAAAATAGAACGTATCTATTGGCTTATTTTCTCAGCATCGTTTACACGCCACTGTAATTTACACCTACGATGGATATCGGTTTCTCTTGTTCATTCGTTTGCCGCTTGTTTGGAAACGGGAGCAACCGTATAAACTGCCCGTAAGCTCCGACTTGTATCGGAGTATTTTCGGTAGTGTCTTATTATGAAGACGACATTTCCGTCTCTCTCTCTCTCTCTTTCTCTCTCTCGTCCCTCTGGTTACACGACGGAGATCGAACCAGGCTTATTTTAACTTTCCGTTTCCACCATCCGATTTTTCGACCAGGCTCTCCGCTTTCACGCACGTAGCACCGTTTCTCGGATCCTAAAAGGGATCCCCAGTGTTCCCCGCTTGCTCGACCCTTTATCCCTTCATTAAATCTCGTCCTGTAATCCCTAACTAAGTTACACGCCTTCTTTTTATACCGCGGCGTTAAGTCAATCTCCTCTCTCGTGACTTCAGAGGGTCAGCGGGTTCCTCGATTTACAGGCAGACGATTTTTTCGTTATCCCTCTGTTCGAGCACGAACCTAATCGTTCCGAGTACCGGCTGCAGTTTTTCGCGTACGATCCACTGGTGCGACCCTCCGGGTGCAGTTTTTCGCATAGGATTTAACGCTTTACCGTGCAGCGCTACTCCGGAACGGAACGTAGCAGATTACTTCCGGTGAAAGAAGATTTCAGCTATAGCGTTTACCCGTTACTCGCGCGACAACGCGATAACTCGTATCTGGAAGATACGCCCCTTCTGTGTGTAATGACGATAATTTCACACGAGTGCCGATACGTACCCACACACTGGCCGTCGTAACTTTCCGCTTCGGCAGGTAGGGATACGCGCGATATCGGTGGAACGAAAAATCCTCAAGCCCCGTTTCGATGGAACGCGGCTAACGCGGATTCCTGCCTCGCCGATTGCACAGCGTACTCTTGGCACCGAAATCGAGATTCGACCGACCTGCGAGGAAAGGAACAGGTAAAGAGAAATCCGACAGCAAGAGCTTTTGTTAGGTTGGCCCTTTCTTGCCCTTCCAGCTTGACAGGTTACCGTAGTCGTACAGGTGCTCGTCTTCCAGTGCTTGGAACAGCATCGTGTCCCGTAGCTTGGCAAACCCTATGTAAATATACCGGGTGTCCCGCGAGCAGAGCGGTTTCGAACTCATTGTACGGGATCACGTAGCTGCATACATCGGCGCGGCAAAAGGTCGACATTCTGCGACCGAAGAGAAATGCATTGCGACGCCTGCATACACGCGACAACACGCTCGTTCGCCACTTAAACGGATGTGAGCGCTTATAAATGGCGCGTTTAAGCGCAATACAGATACATCGGTGTATACGTTACGAGACACTTCCCGCGGGTATCTTACGATCGCATCGGCCGGCTGTTTAGAAGCGGCATTAGGCAAAAACTGGTTAAAATTTATATTCCCTCCGCGGAACGATCGCCGTACATTTCCTCGAGCTTTTTTCGACAGAGAAATAAGACACGCGCTATGCGCGTTTTTCCGCCTTCGCGGAGAGATTTAGCGTAGTTTGCATGCAGGAACGCCGCCGTTGGAACGCCATGGTGTTACATCACGCGGTAAACAACTGTCGCACGATTGTTGGGTGATTTCCACGTTCCATCGGAGCGAGAACGCGGGGGTGGTCGCAGGGATTCGGTTCACACGCGCGGACCATGAACGCAGGGGGTGACGTCGCGCCGTTTGACCGCATAATTAACGTTCATCAGGTGGACACGTGCGTGTACGCGAACACAGGGGAAGAGCACGAAAAAAGCCGGGGACTCGAAAGTACCGTACGTCGGTGAGTCGATGACAAGACTACATTCTTCTTGCGTCGCTTCTACGAAATCGAAAGAGGCCCTACGGCGTCGCAGTAGCAGCCGCCTGGTCGTCTTGGCAGGCTGTCCGTGTCTCGAGCAGTTGCACGTTTAATTAACGAACACGATAAGCGTCGTCTTCATTACGAAAATTAAAGTCCCTCCGGGCGCCTGGTCCCACGCCCTTCTAAGATTACCATCGTTCTCACAGGCTTTACCTGTGACCATTTTCTTCCTTTTCCTGCCGCTGAGCTGCCTGCGACTCGCAATGGCGCACACCACGGGTAGCCTAGTGAAAATCCTTGGCGCGCGATTCCTTAGCGTCCTCGTCCGAGCAATCGGTACGACGTTGGCATTAGCGGGGTTTACGGCTGCAGAGAAGCAATCGCCGGCATGGCCGGGTAGAAGAAAGGTGACAGGCCCGCAGGTGCCAATGTTTATAGTTGGTTGCGACACGTACCATTCTGTAGGAGACTGGACGCAAGGTAGGAAGAAGAAAAACGCGAAGAGGTCGGAGAGGAGAGAACGAGAGAGAGAGAGAGAGCTGGGGACCGGATAACGCGTGGGCACACGAACACCGTCTCGCCCGTGGATTTTTAACGTTTTACCCCGATCGACGAGCAAGTCACGGAGGCAAAATCCGTACAGCGAGACTTATCCGAGGAGCCACTTAACTCGAATTATCTGCTCGGCTTACGTGTACAGGATCGGCTTACCCGCTTCGTAATTTTATATTCCGGCTACCTCGTACACGGCCTTACGAAATTCTGCCTGTCCGAGGGAAACCGGCGAGACGGGGGTCCGTTCTGACCTGCGGAATCTCCAGTCGCGTTGGTGGTTTCCTCGGCAACTTTTTCTCCTCGCCTGCTTATTCGACGCTTGCGTAACAGCCTTTAATTGGCCACTCGTCGATTTCTGAATTCATCGAAACGGACGAAGGCTGTCGTTGAAACCTCAGAAACGAGGATGAGGTAATGCCTCTGCTAAATCGAGTCGTCGGATCATCGCAATTTCCTGCTTTGACCGCGCGAATAGTAGGTTTGCGGGGATTGTGAAAGATTTCGTCGCTGTTGCGAGAGATTCCGCTGGTAACCGAGGGTCGAAAAAGAAATGGCGAATATTCGGTTAGTGGGCCATCAATGGCACGCGCTGGCCCCTGTATATTTACGTTTCCTAGGCGATTTATCTCGATCTTTTCGCTTCTTTGTTTACACCGTTCTTCTACGTTCGTGACTCGTAACACGATTAGTTTATACCCCGTGTATACGAGTGATGATATATATACGTGGGATATGGCGTATACACGAGCGAAAAGACAGGTTTCGGTAGGATCGTTCCTTGGCCGAATTCTGCTCGATATGGTGTCCTCGTCCTCGATACCGGCCATCTCTCTCTTCTCGCTCTCGTAGTTACCAGCCGCAAAAGAATCGGAGACATTTATTGTATAGTGCACCAGAACCGTTTCGCCATTTCGAGGCAAGGTCGGTGTTACGGTACTCTGACGGGGCGTGCGAGCTTCTTTTACCTTGGGAAGCCTTCGCACGATCCACTCCACCTTCGTGCCATTAACACATCGCGGACAATTATTACCGTACACCACTTTTCATCGATCATCCTACATCTCCGTTTCATGCGCGCGTCTGAAACCAGGTTATCGTCTTATTACACCGATACGCTGGACACCGTGCGCAATCTCCGGTTATGCGAATGTCGAAATCGTCGCCAGTGAGATATTAATTAAGCCTGGAACGCTGCTGATTTATTTCGTAACGTCCATGTCCATCCATGTGAGAAGTAAACGCTTCAGCCATAACAACCTGATTACGATAGTAATCCATTCGCAAACGCGCGCAAATGCGCTAGAAGCTTCAATCATGCTATAATAGGATGCTATGAAAACACGAGGAATCGACGCTAAAGGCAAAGCCACGGTGACGTAACAAATAACAGTGGGTTATAACACTACACCGTACCAGGATCGAGAAGTTAA